CGGCCAATGTAGTTCCGGTTCTTGAGGGCAGGAAGTGTGGTGTTGAAAATCCCACGTGAACTCTAGCTACAGATGTAGTTAGGATGTTCCCACAACAATACGTCTACTAGGATAGTAAACGATCGTTCGGGTGGACCTGAAGACCCCAGTTCTGCCCTTGCACCGGGACAAACTGGACCTTGTAAACTACTTATATAGGCCAACCAGTAAAATAAGAACACGCTACTAGCACGAGCAAAGCTAGCAGGTGTTTTGAATCCTCGTGGTCCCAACAGCGGAAGGGTACCAGGCACGGGTAAGCCTTTTACGAGATCACCGAGTGTTCAACACTCGGCTGGAAGAAATAAAAGGGAGGCAATTCAAGCACTCCCAGTCGTGCAAATAGGCAACAATAAGCCGTCACGTAAAACCTCCCGATAATAATCGGCCAATACACAAAGTCTCTTGGCCTTGCCGGATGAACCCTCGCTACAGAGCTTCGAGTTCACCGACAGGCATAACACACTCAAACAAGCTTGACCTGACGCTTACCTTGAAGCCGGACGTCGCTCTGTGTGCTTGAGTGGAAATTCTGTTCTGTATTTAAGCTTACCCTTTCGGGTCTATTCCTAATAAGAAGTCCTAATCAAGTATACAAATATCAAGTGAACAATGATCCGTTATGGATCTTCTTGCATGCCAAGCGTCGTCTGCACCGTCGCATGAGCATCTTTAACGGTCCGCGCCTTGTCCCAGACGGTAAACGTGTCTTCCAAAGGTCGCTGACTCTTCCGCGAACTCATCCCAGCCGCCACTGAGGGTTCGTACCGTAGATGGTCCGCTGAATGCGAATCTGGCCAGTCCATTATTAATAATAAGGACAGCCTGGATTCAGTGACATAGGGCCGTATCCGATACTTGTTGAAAACTCGGAGGTGACGCCGTCGAGTCCCTTGCACCTTAGCGTCTCCGTACATCACCTGACCGAGGGTTCGTCGCTTGAACAACTTGGGCGGTGTTACGTCTTTGTCGACGGGTGATAATCCGCAACTTCGGAGAGATCACTACACCACAACTGCCCCTGTCGCAATGGAAGCCACGGTACTGGTGCCCGTTGTGACATTTCTTCATTCTTCAATTCACCATCTCGCCACCGTATGTCCAAGCGTCTGAATCAAGCCGTGTCCGACGCTTTCAGCGTCTCAATTCTCGTAGACGTCGCGAACGAA